ATATTTTGTACTGTGATATTGTTGGAAAGAGTTGGATATAAAAAAAGAATGGATGTATCTGTTAAAAATTTTGATGAAGAAAATGATGATAGCAATGAACAACCAATAATAAAATCCAAGGAAGCATTAAAAAGTCTTGAAACTGTATGCACATTTTCGTTACATGCAGTATACAATTAAAATTGGATTCCCTAGTTATTTTGCAATCAATTCTGGTGTTTTGCTCAGAAAATGCCATCTTTCTTGTAATTTGGACATAAAAATGTGACCACTTATTTCTCCTGTAGGAATTTCAAGATTAGGACAATAATCTTATTAACGGTCTCTTGCAAAAGAGAAGCAGGTTATTTTTCATTTATTTGGTTCTACTTCTCTTATATTCTTTTTGTTCCAAAAGTTGTAACGAACCTTGGTAGAGGAAAATCTACTTTTTACGGAAACTGCAAATTTCATCCTTGCTGTGAAATATTACTTTCTTTAGTCAACACTTGAGTTGTTGGCAAACAAGAAAATTCGTCAGCATTATTGGAATAAAAATCGGTATGATGTATCTACTATAATAATAATAATAATAATAATAATAATAGTTTACCTTGATTTAACGGATTTGACGTATTGACGTATTTATATTATTTATTATTATTGTATATGGATTATTTGATAAATTAATTATTATTATTATAATAAATTTATATCCAGTCTTTTGAGTGGATGTTTCCCAGGAATCATGTTAATATGGGGTATTCATGACTAGAACTAGCTGGAGGATTATGAATACAAATCAGATAAAATCTATTATGTGGATATCGATTTTCGGTTTTTTGTGTCTTAAAACTTTAAAGAATCAGAAGTCCTCCTTGGATCTAGCAAAATATCACCATTCTTAATCAAGAAATTTGCTTTCTTAATAGAATTATTAATTTAAATTGACAAAGAAAGAAAAAAGGATTCGAATTAAATAAAGAAAACATATAACAAAAAAAAAATTGTTTCGAACATCCTAATTATTCCTCCTCACTTTTATTTCAATCATATTAATATTATTTCAAATGGATTATTTTATTTAGTTTTTTGATTATAAAGTTTAAAACTAATGTCAATTTCCATAATAAATATAGCTTATTAGAAAAACAATCATTTCAAGGCTTTGTGAAATTTAATAATAAACAACATCTTAAATAGAAGGAATCTTTCAAACAAATTAGATGACACACTCACAATCATAACAAAAAATTTAGATAGTTACTTTGGTGAAGAAGTTTACAAAGATGACAGCAGTTTGGATATTAATGACAGTACTAATGTTGAATCATTTTTATACGAACATTAATGGCAGTAATAACTCAAATAATAATAATAATGATCGTGATAATAATAACGTAATATGAACATTAATAGCAATAACAATAATGATAATAATAACATAATGACAATAATAACAATAATGATAATAATAATGATAATAATGGGGAATTAAAATCTGATTAGATTAAGATTTGATTTGGTTTGATTTGATTTGATTAATAAAATAAATTTATTAATGCGATGACAGATATCAAACTGGCTAAACGAATTTCCGTGGGTTGAACCCCGCAATATAAATGATGAAAAAATAAAACAATCTATTTTGTAAAGGTGCAAATAATTATAGAGAAGATTATCTACTTAGACATTGAAACATGAGCATTTTGTAATTTAAGCAATTGACAGATAAAGTTATCAACTCTATTTCAACAAGACAACCAACACCAATGTTAAATAATGACTATGAAGAAGTAATAATAATAACAATTCTCTTGATTCTCTATTTTATACACGAATTCTCCTTTGCTTCTCAAATTCAAATATCAACACATGAATCACACGAACAACAAAAAATCCAGCCATAGAATATTTTATGGTTGACAGTTATTATTCTTGGAAATCGGACAAAAATCAATATAGTGATAATAATTAATAATAAGTATAACAGGATACCAATAATAAAGCTGTTAACATTTTTGGAACAACAAGCCACTGATTAATAAATCGTTTGATTGGAATTCCAAAGATTATGTTAATTTTTTTAATCAAGAACCATAATTGTTTGTCTGAGATATTTATAGAAAGTAATGATAATAGCTTTCTAGCTATTTAATTAAGTTCTTTAAATTATAGAATGAGCCGTTCATTAATTTTGTCAATTTTTAATAAATTTTGCATTCATGAAAATCCATAGTTCAACTCAAGTTATAATCTCAAAATCTCAAGATAAAGATAATATTTCAGAATACAAGTCATCAAAAAAATTTATTTATTGATTATCTACTCTTTATAAGAAATAAAAATGATGAAATTAGCAATGTTAGATCCTTTGATAAAAAAACAGATACATGATATTAAGTTACTTTATTTTTATTTCTGCTGCTTTTCATCATTGGCTGTTTATCGTTCTTTTCTTCCATTCTTTTCCTTTTTATTATTATTTACCAACATATTATTAAATTTATATTTTCTATCCTTCTCATCTTTATCCTTGTCATCATCACATGAAAATTTATTATTAATGATAGCGATTTCAAAATTTGATTCTTGTTTACAAGTTCCAAAATCTTCATCTTTATCATTGGCATCTTTATCACATGAAGATTTATTATTATTAAAGGTGATAATTTCAAGATTTGGTTCTTGTTTACAAGTTTTAAAATCTTCATCTTCATTAATCTTTTCTTTATCATACCTATGATCATCATGGCCTCTGTTACCTTCAAAATAAAAGTCTTCTTTGTCAAGATTATCCTTTTCATAATCTTCATCCCTATAATCACTATCACTATTAACATTGTTTTTGTAATCGTCATCTTCTTCATCACTAATAACATTGTTTCTATAACCATCATGTTTATAATCATTATCACCATTAACATTATTTTTATCATCATCATCATCTTTATCATCATCTTCATCATCTTCATCACTATCACTATTAAAAGTAAAATCCTCATTGTTTCTAATCTTTATCTAAAATAAATAAAATAAAATGTATATCTAATTTGATTAATAGTACATTCTTTTGTGAACATTGTGATGTGATAATAATATTATAAAATGTTACCAAATTTCTTGACAATCTTGATTTAACTCGCGATTGTGAAATTTCAATAGATAGAATCTTCGAATTCAAGATATTTTCAACAACGGTGATTGCATAAGCTTTAAGCATTTCAGTGGTTTTTATATGACTTCTATTCCATGTTTTTTTGATAATCTGGTCCATTTGGCTTGGTTGATCATTGCTTGAAAAAAATAAAGTTTGTTGAGCTCGTTTTACAGGTAAACTTTTTTTCCAATTAATTATTTCAGTTGGGGAAGAGTTCATATTAATTTCCGGTAGGTTTAGAACAATGAACATGTTTTTCTTTATATTAGCTGTAATGGTTCCGCGCGTCTTTCTTAATTTACTGAGAAGCTGTAGTTTAATAGTATAAAGATTTTATTAATGTAAAATATGTTTCTTTGAAAATTAATATGAAACTCGACATACCTCTTTAGAAACATTGTTTTCTAACCAAAACACAAATTTGCTGTTTTTGGATCCAAACTTCTTTTGAAACCAATCTTTCTTATAACTATTAAAATAATTAAATGATACATCTTTAATGTCATTTTGATCAGGATAGACATATTCTTCAAGTAAAATTTTCGTTATATTATTAATGTCACCCTAATTAGATTGTATAAACAGAAAAATAGTATTAATAAATTATTTTTATAACCGTGGATACACCCAAGATTGGACGATTCTGGCGCATTTTATGTTTAGTGTTTTTTCACAATATATATATATATATATATATATTACAATATTTAAGTTAAATATTTTATATATTGAAATGATGTTCTTGAAAAAATATTGTTGAAAATAAGCCGATAAAAATAAAACCTTTGGTTATACCTTAAATTTTATATCATCATCTTTTTCATCAGTCATTAATTCAAGTTTTTTATTTATTGAAAAAAGTAATTCGTTAGTTTGATCTTGTTTTTCAGAAAGTTTCCTATTCTCATCTAATAAAATATTAATATTCTTCATAATTTTCAACATGTTTACATTTGAACGATCTATAAAAAATATATACAGATATATTATTAACAAGTTTATATGAAGCTTGATAAAGAAAATACAATATAAATTTTAAATGTCTAAAGAAATAATCAACCTAGAGTGTGCATATTATTACCGTTGCTGTTATTTTTACTACTTCTTTCTATTAGACTATCATTAGCATCAACATCTAACAATATATAATATTTAATTGTGTTTTTTTTATAAATTGATTTTTAATAATTAATTCAAAACAATTTTCAGACATACCAGAATCAATATCACAGATTTCTAGGTTTATAAATGGTGATTATATATTTTTATTTTAGAATTAAATATCAGGAATACACAAGGCAATATATATTTTAACATACAAACCTTTCGTTTTAAATCTTTTTTTTACCAATTTTGAAGTTCCAGAAGCTTATATATAGAACATTTATTAAATAAAAATTAAACATCTTTCTAATTAGAATTTCAAATCAATGAGTATCATTATTATAATACTTACGAACACTCAAATTTCTTTTCATGTCTATGGTTTTTTTTTAAAATATAACGCGCGAACACTTTGATAGACAATACAACATTACACTATGATCTGCATGTCGATCGAATGGTTTCTTATATTAATTAGTAATGTTCTCAACACAAGATTGTGTTATCTACACTATTCTATGCCTTTGACACATTATTATGTCCTTAACTCTCACTACTTTATGTGTTAAACATAAGTTTTATGTCTCTTGTGTAAGCACAATTTTATAAGATAACGTTCTAGTAAACATAATATGGGGCATGCTGCAACAAAACCGGACAAAGTGAACATTTGTATTACTAAGGATTTCAGGGATCAAAATTTAGTTATCATCATCACAATTAGTTTATAATGTCCCATTTGTTAAGTGATATATAGAACTGTCCCTATATAAAATTCATAATATATTAATATTTTAATTGTTAATATTAATTACATTTTAATTTTACATTTTAATTTTAATATTAATTACATTTATCAGAAAATCATTATAATTAATAAAAACATTGCATTACTAAAGTGTTAATGACCATTCATTTTTAATAAAAAAATTATTTGTTTGCAAAGGTACAATAAAAATTATTGAGGTGCATCGGGATTACTTGTTGTATCTTTTTTTTTTGGGGGGCTCCACCAGGGCTTGTGGAGCATCCAATATTTTTCACTGTACTGTTTCTTATCAACATTTGCCTTAAATATTTTTTCAAATAATTTGTTTTGGTCTATTAACTCCAATGATTCATTAAATTTTTGATAGAAGTTCTATAAAAACAAGTAAATTAGAATGCAGGCCTTTCTGATAAAAAAAACCATATATAATATAATTAACTATCAGATCTTACCAACACAAAGTAAAAAAATTTTATAGCATCCCTAAGTTTCTTGATGTTGTATAGGCACACTGCCCTACAAAAAGTTTAGGTGCTTAAAATGTATTTAAAACATGCTTAAAATCTACTTGAAGGTGCTTAAAATGTGCTTAAAACATACCTTTTTTAATAATGAACAAAATTAAGAACATTTTAAGTGTGTTTTAAGTGTGTTTTGAGTATAATTTCATATACTTAAAACATACTTAAAACTCACTTAAAATGTTCTTGTTCTCTTCCATTGGTATATTTTAAGTGCATTTTAAGTATCTAAACTTTGTGTAGGGCAGGTAAAATAAAAGTTTTTCTGGCTGACACTATGTAATAACCATTCTTCAAATCCATTGAGAGCGATTGTCCATTTATCCCTGCCATCTGAACATATATGAGCCGGATGTCAAGGCTGCTTTCCAGTTCACCAATTCTTAAAAGTTCATTTAAGATTGTCTGGTTCACTTGGTTTGATCTGCATCTATCTGCAATAGTTTTAGTGGTAGTAGGATTCCATGCAAATTCCCATTCTGCCAGATCCTTCCCTCCTGCACTGAGAATGTGGACATCACAGCACCAACCATGAGTTAGCCTTTTGATTTTGAAGGAGAAAGAGATTCACCCCTTATATGTGTGTGTGTAAATTCGAATGATTTGTTAGTTGAAAATCACAGAACTCAATTAAAGTCATATTTTAACTTACCATTTTTCATTAAAGCCAAAATCGGGCACCAATCCATTAATTATATATTCAGTAGCCTTGACTATTATGTCAACTTCTGTACATCCATTGTTATAAAATTTTTACTGTCCTTAGTTTTGTACAGACTGCATATTCATTTTACAGAAAGAAAAAAAGGTAAATGTAGTTAATGAAAAACTAGGGAGTTAAAAGAAATAAAGTAGAAATACATACAAGTCTCCATAAACCAGGGTTGGAAAATTGACTGGTCCATTGAGAACAGATGGATTTTGGACTGGTCCATTGCAATTAATAAAATATTAAATATGGTCAAAGTGTTACACTAATGGACCCAATGGACCACCAATATACCATCAATGGACTGCACATTTGCCAACCCTGCCATAAACTTTTGATATTTTGTAAATCTTAGAATTGGGTTTGGAATTAAGGTGAGTTTCAAGACATGTTATATATGCTTTATTTGTTTCGCCTTCAGCTACTAACTATAAATTTGTGAGCAGATTAAAAATTAAAAAATAGGACAAATAGCAAAATAAAAGTAAAAAATTCAAGGTAGTGAGCCTACCCCTTCAACAGTTACAATAAAATTATCAATATTGCCACTTAATTCTGTTATATTTATAACATACAACATTTCTTCTATTTCTTTGCTGTCAAAATAACCTTTCATTGATGATGTAAGGGTCAATCATATTTGATGCAGTGTATCTTATCAATGCCTTTTCTTCAGCAGTCATCTTTTCACTTGTGTGGAGTTTTTTACTGTTTTCATTAATTATTTTTTCAAAAATATATTTTACAGCTCGAGATGTTGCTGTCAGCACCCATGGTTTATCAGATTCTGAAATTCAACCAAATATTTCTTGTGTTAGTGGTATATCTTCATCATCATCATCGCCATCATCACCACTACCATCTGGAAAATATAAAAAAATTTTACATGTGTCAATTGTAAGTTTAATAATAAAAAAGTGTAAAACTTACATTGGCACTGTAAGATTTATGCAATATTACATCGGCATCATAAGATTTATGCAAGTTTACACTAAATTAATTTCCTGATGACCAGCTCTAGCAGATAAATCACCATCATCTCCTTCTTTGTATTCAGAATCAGATACATAACTCATAACTCATACAAAAAGGAATATGTTTAACTTTTTTCCCCCAATATATACTTCCAACTTCTTCCTCTTCCCCTTCTCTTCCTCTTTTCTCTTCTCCTTCCTCTAATAAATCATCTGCACCACTAAAAAAATATAAATATATACAAAAAAAAATAATTTTATTTTAACAAGCTAACCACACTCACCATTCATTTTTAAAAATAATAACTAGAGTAACAATGAGTGGTGGGTGATAACCACCACCACCATCCTTAAAACACTTACTCAGCAACATTAACAACAAATTCTTGTCTTCTTTTTTTTTGTTTTGATTATACATTTTTTTTTTAAAAAAAATTTTAAAGAAGTTTGTCAGATGCAAATTGATTTTTTTTTTTGGAAAAACAATTTATTTTTGGAAAATATTATATACCAGCCAGTCAAGATTTCACGTGATCGACATGTCTACTGTCATAATTTTTGTGAAACATGTCAATTTTTACTATTAAAATCGAAAGAACTTTTTACTTGTCACTAGTACATCCACATGTAATTTTTAACAAGGAATGTGATATTTTGTGCACACATTCTTTGAGATTTTGTTTTATTCCTTGTAAAATTTTAGATATGGTTTCATAAAAAAATGATAAATAATTAGCAGTTAGAAGTTATACATTTT